GGGGATAGAGCGGGGGAGTCGGGAGTGTAATAATGGGGGAGATTTGGAAAGAGTTGTGTGCCATTTGCGCACGTCAAAGATTCCTTGGTGGTCCTAAAATCGATAAGAATTGGCTTCAGCAGCCAACCGGGCTAAATTCAAAGTTAAATTCTACCAAACTGAAAATGGTTAATGTGTATCGCACGCTCATAATTATGATCTTATGCAGTTGCGAGGGCGGTAAAACACTTACAACCCAAGTTTAGAGTTTGGTTGAATGTGACAATTAAAATGTGTATCATTGACTGGAGAACTCAGAAGCTGTGTGTACACCATGCAAACGTATGAACATAAACTTTTACTACGGTCCTCTCTTTTTGTCGTACACAGTTTGCACCGCTATCCCACGTGATATCTCTTGGATAAGTGCACTGGGAATTGCACTCGAGTTTGGAATACTGTTGACCAAAAGAAATATTCTTTTGCGATGCGAATTTTGAAGGTGATATTGATTTTGTTTCTCTGTTTACAGTAAAAAAAAAATAAAAAAAAAAAGGAAAAAAAAAAGAGAGACTTTGCTTGATTGAGTGCACATAATTTAGAATAGTTTACAGTATCGATGTCACTGTGTTCAACAACAATGACACTTTCACATGAGTGCTTACATCTTCTCTGGGCTCTTTTCCGTACGTACAAACTGCCAAAACTGTATTTCAAATAACATGTCAATGACAGAATGATTTATTACTGAACCCCCCCCCCCCCAGAATTTTAAGATCAGGAATATTGTGATATTATTATTTTTAAAAAGATCAAAGACATTCGACTCTTTTAAACAAACCGCTAAAGTGCAGATTAAAAGTCACGAAAAGTGTAAAAATCAGTCCAGTCAAAATATAAGGCTGCACGAAAACCCCCCCCACCCCGAAACTATACAAAACAAACCCAGCAAAACTAAACAAAACGAAACAAAACAAGAACAAAAACAAAACAAAAACCTGAACAATACAACAGATAGTCTTTTGTTGTTGTTGATTTGTTTTTAAAGCAAGACACTGTGGGCAGGAAAAAAAGAACAGACCATAATTATACTCAGTCACTTACCAAATCCATCTGTTGTGGGTGAGGTCGTCGCAGTTAGCGCCAAAACCCAAACAGCTGTAAATAGACAGGAATTATTTTGGGGGCTGCCCAGTTTGTCACACGCCCAGTTTGTCACACACCCAGTTTGTCACACGCCCAGTTTGTCACACGCCCTGTTTGTCACACGCCCTGTTTGTCACACGCCCTGTTTGTCACATGCCCAGTTTGTCACACGCCCTGTTTGTCACACGCCCAGTTTGTCACACGCCCAGTTTGTCACACGCCCTGTTTGTCACACGCCCAGTTTGTCACACGCCCAGTTTGTCACACGCCCTGTTTGTCACACGCCCAGTTTGTCACACGCCCTGTTTGTCACACGCCCAGTTTGTCACACGCCCTGTTTGTCACAATTTCATTTAGCCTAAGTTTTTGAGTATTGGTGACAGTCATAATTACAGCACTATAACACTGTAGTTGTAACAAGTTTCTTTATTCTCCACCTTCAAATTGGTGCGGTAGAGATAGTCCCTCTAAAATGTCAATTCAGTTTGTGTTGTTCAATATATCTTCCTTTTTCAAAATGCAAATCAAAGCAAATTACTCTGTAGAATTTCAACAATGAATATTCTTTCGTTAAAAACAATTGAAAAATAAAATTCAATCCATACAATCAACCAATCAATAATTCATTTACTCTTGTAGAGAGTGTCAGTGATAACTTCCATCATGCAGGGCACAGTCGAAGACTGTGACAAACTGGCATGCTTCAAATATTTTTAGTTCTAACTGTGGGAAGTGATCAGACGTCTCTGCTAGAACGTTATAGAGGAATGATTCATTACGATCGGTCAATAAATGATCATCAATGTTTCTGGGATCAGCAACGAAAACAACTACTTGGCCTACATCAACAACTAAAACAACAACAACAACAACAACTATAGCAACTACAGCAACTACAACAACAACTACAGCTACAGCAACAACGACAACAACAACAATAAAAACAACATCAACTTCAGCAACTACGAAAAAAACAACGACTACGACGACGACGACGACATTAAGAATGAGATAAAAGGCTCTTTTGTGTATTTTGTGTATTTTATAAAACATATCGTCGGCAGAGAATTCTAACCGTCTAACTCCAAATTTTCTCGAATTGCTTTTTTCCTTAAAATAGATTGACATAACGAATGGCTACGTCCTTTTAAAATCTAGAACAATTTTGACAAACAAAAGTCTTGTTTTAAAGAGAAATTCTAACCGTATATTCCGACTGACTTCCGTGACTGAAGAATTCTAACCGTCTAACTCGTTTAGGTAGTCCGCCATTGTGGATCACGGCGATAACGTTACGCTCTGAAGGAGGCGTTTGATTATAAATAAGATTCTTTTTTCCTTAAAATAGATCGACATGACGAATGGCTACGTCCTATTAAAATCTAGAACGATTTTGACAAACAAAAGTCTTGTTTTAAAGAGAAATTCTAACCGTATATTCGGACTGGCTTCGGTGACTGAAGAATTCTAACCGTCTAACTCGTTTAGGTAGCTCGCCATTGTGGATCACGGCGATAAAGTTTTGCTCTGATGGAGGCGTTTGATTTTAAATAAATGTAAAATCAGAAAAGGTTGCTTTTGTTAAAGGGTTGGTTGACTGTGTCGAGCCTGTGGAGAAAAAGGAGAGAGAAAGCAGAAGATCGTGGTCCATGAAGTACCATCTGCGAGTGAATGGGGCCAGAGTCAAAGAGTGCACGGTTTTCTTCTTAAGTCTTGTACTTTGTTACTAGTGTGTTCACATTGTTCTTACATCTGGGTTGGGCGTAGCAGAGGGTGAGGTTCCAGTTCAGAGAAAAAGGGTTAGGGAGGAGACTACAGCATCAAAGGTACTTAAACAGTTTCTTCGTGATCTGCCCAAGTTGCCGTCTCACTATTGCCGTGGGACTCCAGTAAGTTATACGTGGAACCTGTTTTCCAGAGCTTACAGGCAGTGTACCGCCGTTTGTATAAAGAAAAGTATGAGGGGGGGGGTACTTTCTACCTTCAAGTTTAAAGAGAAGATCAATGCTATGAACCTGTCATGGTTCCATCCCCGAAAAGATAGGTGTGGTCTTTGTGTGGGCTTTGAGGAGGGGAATGTGGAAGAGGGGGCATACAAAAAAGACAATAGACAAGGAAAAATGCATGGGCAGCCCCAAAATCAAATACATGTACATCAAAATGGACCAGCAATCAGTTCTGCTATATCAACGCACCAATGCTTCTGCTTTGTACTACAAGACGTAATTGAATGTACACAATTTCACAGAATAGGAACTAGAGAGCAAGGACTGTGTATGTTATGTCTCAAATGAATGCGAAGGTGCTCTGACTGCAAATAAATTTGCTCCTTGTGTGGCTGATTTTTTGTCATCTGATTTGACTCCAGATCATTATATTCAGATGGATGTGGTTGTATCAGAACTGCAAAGTCACAATGAGTTCTGCACTGTTACATTTCAGCTCTGTCAATGGTAAAACTGTAACATTAAAATTCCTAGAGAAGGGCTATACACAGATGGAGTTGGACAGTGCTCACAGCACATCTAGTATCCAACTGATTATGTCAGGCTAATGGAAGAAAGTAGGAAAGTGAAGCCATATGTAGTCAAGTATTTGACTCATTGTATCTTTTCTTATTTCATCAAACTAACCAACCAGAGTTTACACACCAGATGGTCAAATTAAATACAAACTGAGATTTGATGATGACTGGTCACATCTGCCTTTGAAGCGTGGTGAGTCCACAGACATTCTCCATAAAGACATGAAGGGACTGCCTCTGTACCAGGGTAGAAAGTTTAATTCGTCCATAGAGAACTTTAATAACACATGCAAGAAATGAAGTCTGTTGTGCCATCTGACTACCACAAGTTCTATGACAATCTAGAATTGAGTACCTCACCAGTGCGCATGTCAAAACCCACGGTTAAGTCTAATTTGATATGCAGTGTATTGTGTTTTAGTTTATGTAGTTTATTTTTAGCCAATCAGAGCTTTAGCTTCATTGGGTAGAGCATTTTAAAGCCTCATAATGGTGCTTGGACAAGAGGATAATTCATTCCTGTTGACACTGGATACTGCTATGGCATACCTCATCTTGATGACTTTCTATGTAAAATGTGTTATTTAATTAGGCCATACATTAGTTGGGGATGCATTATATGAGGTTTAGTTGAGCTTTAAAAAAATCAAATTACTTCTAGAGTCTTCCAACCAAGTTAAACCATGTTTTTAGAGTTAGAAGCATTTCAGTTTCTTCCACTGGAGAACTGATGGGTCGCTTTTCAATCCTGCTCGACTTCGAGCCAAGACCAAAATCAACAGACCAAACAAGAATACGAGACCTTTTCTTTGCCGGTGATGCTGCTGTTGTCGCTCATAATGAATCAACCCTACGAATAATCCTGTGTTTAAGAAGATTGAGATGGCTGGGCCATGTCAAGAGAATGGACGACAACCGGATTCCGAAGCAATTTCTCTATGGACAACTTGCCCACGGAAAGAGACCAAGGGGAAGGTCAAAACTGAGGTACAAAGACATCTGCAAAAACAGATTATCTAAGCTTGGAGTAGATGTCAGCATCTGTGAGGAAATAACCGAGGACAGGAAAACATGTCTCTCTCTTTCTCTCTCTCTCTGTCGCTCTCTCTCTTTCAGACCCCTCCCCCCTCTCTCTCTCTCAGCCCCCCCCCCCTTCTCTCTCTCTCAATCTCTCTCTCTCTCTCTCTCTCTCTCTCTCTCTCTCTCTCTCTCTCTCCCTCTCTCTCTCTCTCTCTTGTAGCTAGACAAGAAACCAATCCTTCTCACAATTTCCTTGAGAATGGAGGATCAAATAGATCTAGTAGCTTTATAGTAAAAACTTAACGACGCACTCAATCTATTGACAAGCCCATTGCCTAATTAGAATTATGTGGAAATAAAGTGCGACGTTCAGTTTTAGATATGATAAAACAGTATTATTGTTAGATTCTAGATCTACAGTACTATGTAGTACTAATTAGAACTTTTATAGTAGGCTTCCTGTTGGATTGACTGCAGGTGTAGTCATTTCGAGTTGTTCGGTAACACTAACGTGTCACGATGACTGAGTTAGACGTAACGAAGCGCGTGGCGTCCCCGCCGTGTTGGAGAATTCTAAACGAACAAATTCGTTCGTCGACACTTGGACGGTTAGAAATCCAAAACTGAGCGGTCTATCCGTATAACTCTGGTTTAGCACTTAAAATAATAAAATTTCGGCAATTTTGTTTTAAATACTTAAAAGTAGAGTCATGTATTCCAGTCTAGCGCATTTAAAGATAGTAAATCCCCATAGGAGCCATTGAATTCAGTTTTTTGTCTCTCCTGCAAAATTTACGAAATCGGAGTTGGACGGTTAGAATTCTCCGCCGACGATATTATTAATTTACAACAAACCACTTTCTTAGAATTACGAAATTGTAGGCCTATCTACTGGCATTTTTCGTCGTCTTGGGTTACTTATACCATGAGGTCAGAAACAAAACGTTCTTATTAATATATTATCTACTCTAACAAAATCTCAGATTATTCCAAGTCGTTATCAAGATATTCCAAGCATTGCATTCGGTAAAGTGTTGCATGTTGCGAAACTCAATTTTTTTGCGTAAAAATTTCGCAAAATTAGGTAAATTCTAGGGTAGAAAAATAAATGATGATGAGGAGGAGGAGGAGGAGGTGGAGGAGGAGGGGGATGAGGAGGGGGAGGAGGAGACGAGGAGGAGAAGGGGGATAAGGGTGTCGGTTTTGGTGATAAAGATTATGTTGGAGGTGATGGTGATGGTGATACTGGTGGTAGTGGTGGGGGTTGTAGTTGTGGTTGTGGTTGTGATGGTTGTGGTAGTGTTATAGCTACACCACAGACTGGGATTATATGACAATGTACTCACCCACACCAGATGATGATGATGATGATGATGATGATGATGATGATGATGATGATGATGATGACAGATTATGTAACAATGTACTCACCCACATGCAGGCGACCTCCCAATACACCCGATGGACCCATCGTGATCTTCCGCCCGCAAATTATCGTCTAAATCTCCGAGTGCTGATACCACAACAGCTCTTGCCTTCTCCTTCCTGAACAAAAGTGGAAAGAATAATAATATGTTTGTTTGTCCGTCTGTTTGTTTGTTTGTTTGAATAGAGAGAAGCACATCGACACAATAACGACCATTAAAGCTGGGAAAAGGTAAGACAGACAGGAAGAAGCAATAGAGGGGAAAAATAGGGAAGTAGGATGTACCAATGCTGCCCTCCAACCACCCGTCAATACGTAGAAAATATACTATTGTGTTCCCGAAACGTGATGTAAACCGAAACGATACTAGAACGGAACAAAGCCTTCACAACAAGGAGCTCGGGCAGTAATAATCTCCGCTTTTGGTCAAATATTATGAGACATCGCTTTCCTCAGAAAAAGCTTTGTCGCGTCTGTTATTAAAAAAAATTAGTCAAATTCTCTTTGACAAATAAAGGTCGAACGCCTTACATTAACTTACAAGGATCTGAAACGATGTTCATGTTGTTGAAACCTAATTAGATATCTACTACATAAAGGCCTATCTGATTTTTCTGAAAAGGGGTAGTTCAAATATAATCTTACCTTCTTTGGGACTTTTGCCCAGCACACCCCCTTTTCTTAAATTTCTCTTATATCCCCCCCCCCCCCCAAAAAAAAAAATCCCGTAATATTACATTGTTCGCTTATAATAATAATAATAATAATAATAATAATAATAATAATAATAATAATAATAATAATAAAAGTAATGATAATATAGTATGGTCAACAATTCGTGGTGCAACTTATCCTCAAATATCTCTTTAACGGGCGAATCAATGTCATCCATACTTTGAACAGCAGTTTGTATCAATTTGTCTGAAGTAAATCATATTTTTCTAGAACAATTGGGGCTAGATTTAAAAAACTTTTTCTTTATAAATTTATATAAAATACTTGAAATCTCTGTCACGCGTAAAATGGTATTGTTCACAGCACTTCCCGCTTCTCACACACATTTTGATTACGCATAAGGCCTACGTCACAGCTCATCAAAGACAATTTTTACTTGCAAAACTTGTTACAATAAATTATTGTTATAGTGAACACATTTTTGCTCTAATGGGTCTCAAAACATGCGTTCAATAAGCATAATGTCCCGATTAGAAAAACCTGACGGACGTGCTGTTAAAAGCTATATTGCCCCAGCTGTAAACATTTAAAGATCTGTAGAAACCACCCACTTGGATTTTTTATTAGTATTTATTAAGGAATTTTCTAGAATACAGCTTGCAAGTGTTTACAAAAATGTTGATCTATTAAGACAAATTGATACAAGCCACTGTGCAAAAATTGGAGAACCTATGTTCGATAGTTGAGGAGATGTTTGAAAATAAGTCGCCCCACGAATTTTTGACCGCACTATAATAATGTTAATAATAATAATAATAATATTAATAACAATAATAATAATAATAATAATAATAATAATAATAATAATAATAATAATAATAATAATAATAATAATAATAATAATAATAATAATAATAATAATAATAATAATATGACATTTATATATGGTAAGTCCGTGTGACAATCATTGTTCTATGTGCTTTGAATAATATTCATGCAAAACATGCATACACACACATGCCCATAATTATATATGCAGTTCTACATTCACAAAAAAAAAATAAAAATGACAGAGTAAATTATTCAAGCAAAACATTGCATAGACTCTTTCTTACTATTAAGGAAAAAATTGAGACTCGTGTCAATGTCAAAAGTGCCTTAATTACAAACATAACAAATTACAGTGGAATTCTGATAAAGTCAACACCTCGAGACCGAAAAAAAAGTGTTGACTTTTAGCAGGCTGGACTTTATCCACTGTACTACTGGCCATTGAAAATTTGAAGATGACAGCTACAAAATTACAAAGTACCTGGTAACAAGATGTTAGCTTAATTCCACTGAGTATAATTCTGAAGTTGTCACCAAAAAAAGAGATAATGAGTGAATAAAGTAATTGGAGGTGTGTACACCCCTAGCTCAGGCCTTTAATATCTCTTCTTAAATGAATTCATCTTGGGATTTGGCCCCAAATTGATGACTTACGCAAGATTAACACTCAGACAGTTGCCTGTATCAGAAGAACAATTACTCAAACAAAGAAGGTGAGAAACGGGACCACAGTGACGTGTTGACTGTAAGCAAGAGTTGACTTTAAGTAAGTTAATGACTTTATCAGGATTCCACTGTATCTGTTATTACTGATCAGTATGCTTAAAACCAAAAGTGAAATTAGTTATCATCAACAAAGGCAGTGTTCATGAATACGTCAAAATTATTTTTTTAAAGGGGCATCTGCTGAGCTGTCTTCCAAATTTGAGTCCTACCCCTACTCTTTTTCCTCTCCCTCCGCGTCTTTCTCGTCTTCCTTCACCTCCATTTCTTCCTCCGCCCTTTGTAAAGTCCTGCTCCTCTTCAATTCTGCAATACTTAGAAAATGTTCTGCACCTCCCTTGTGGCCTCTACACACTCTTTGGCATATGCAGCCTTTATTGACCAAGTATTTCAAAAGCACAGTTATACTCTCCTCAAGATATATCACCCAATATCCTGTACCCTGGCCTTAAAGCTATGACGGAGAGCATTATTCTTCTTCTCCTTCTCCTCCTCCTTCTCCTTCTCCTTCTCCTTCTCCTTCTCCTTCTCCTTCTCCTTCTTCTTCTTCTTCTTCTTCTTCTTCTTCTTCTTCTTCTTCTTCTTCTTCTTCATATAAAATATTATATATATATATAATAATATATATATTATATATATATATATATATACATTATATATCATCATTATTTTGCCCATCATCATAATTATTACCATTTTTAGTTATCATTATTATGTAACCCTACAGAATCACATAACTGCAGAATAATAAATTAACAAAGAATGTGTGTTAGTATCTTATCTTAGATGTATTAGCTAATATACATACTGATATTATTGTTTTTCTCCCCAAGATCATTCGCCAGTCATTCATCTCATAACTTATTTTTGTGCTCAATTTTGCTGTTTGCCCACCGAGTTCTTGTGTATTTCATCTACCTCGTAATTATTGTCTTTATTTCTTTCTTATTGAGATGATACACTTAACATTAACAGAGTGTATGGATATTGTATAAATGTGTACACACATCGCAACCCGCCCCTATCTGACTTTACATTTCTATTTTATTCTTAGGTTTAATTGAATAATTTTATTTTTACTTCTTTAGTAATGAAAACTTCTTTGCACGGTAGGCCACCCCCAAATAGAAACAAAGATAAATAAAAATAATAAATAAATAAATACATTACGTGAAAATAAAGATTAAGATAGATAGTTAGATAGGCCAACAAACAAAAGAACGCGAAAAAGGTAGTTGATAGATATTTAAATAAATAGATAATTTAAATAAATAAATAAATAAATACATAAATACATAAATACATAAATAAACAACCTTTTGCTAAAAGATTCTATGTACGGTGCGTTCAAATCAAACAAAAACCATCTGAGAAAACAAACAAACAAAACAAACAAAAGCAACAGAAAGAACCCACCGTGACAGCCAGTGGTGTGTCTCGGAAAACTGTCCCTACAGAGATTCGTGGCCAGACCTTTATTTATATTCCTCCCGGCCAATGTACTTTGTAAGTAGTGGCGTGGGCGAGGGGGACATTCTAGTTCATACACCTATAGCCTAGTTTGTTTGTTTTGTTTCGTTTTTTATTACCAGTTAGCTTTGTAAATAGCATTAGGACCGATGTGAGTCGATGAAAGCACCGAAGCTTGGAAACTTTCCTTGACCGAGCAAAAGCGAGACGATAATAGGCAGGTGGGCGTCATGCAGGTGCGCCGCCCATAAACAAATGGCAGTCTAGCTTATTTAATATAATAATATATAGATCTAACATACATGTACTGCCAGTTCTCTTGAATAAGCTTTATTAATGATAGATGGCACGAAGTTCATTAGTGAGTATATTGATTATTTTTATACATTTGAAGAGAAAGGTTTGTTTGATTCTTATTTTACAATTTAAAGTGCCCTATTCAAATTTGGGAACCCATACCTACTCTGAATCAAAACACGATGTGGATACAGGGCAATTTTTTAAGACTCGCTATTTTTTGTCTTTGTTATTGAGTGAAAACAAAGGCTATTTTAATGGTGAAATATATCAATGCGTGTGTCCTGTGTGTGGTTTTATTCTGTCCAGCAGCTTGAAGGTAGAAAAGTTCTCTCAAACAAATCAACATTAGCCGATTCAAACTGTCTTATGGGGACAGATATTTTCAGTGAAACGAATGAGATTGATTGACGCAGGGAGCACAGTAAAGGGAGGATCTTCTTCTTCTTCTTCTTCTTCTTCTATCCCGTGGTTGGGGCAACCGTTGGGGCACCACTGCATTGGAAAACCAGCTCTCG